AGCATTGGACAAGTTGTCACATAAAAGACTTGTAAAAAATAGCTCTATAGGTATGGGAAATAAGTTAGCAAATTGGATAGAAGAGTGGCTGGGGGGAGAAAGCAGAGGGGTGTTACAAATGGAGTTTAGTCAAACTGGATTAATGTCACAATAGGGGTACCTCAGGGCTCAGTCTTAGGATCTTAGATCTTTTTGATTTACATCAATGACATAGATGAAGGGATAGTCAATAAATTACTTAAATTCGCAAATGATATTAAAGTCTTGTGTGTTGCTAACTGTGAAGAGGATGCTACTGTTAACAAAATGATTTAGATAATTTAGTGAGTCGGACAATTAAATGGCAGATGGGTTTTAATTATAATAAATGCAAGATAATGCATGTGAGTTATCATAATTTGAATTATAAGTATAATTTGTATGGGAATAACCTTAATAGGGTTATGAAAGAAATACATCCTGGTGTAATGGTCGATCAGTCTCTAAAGCCATCCAAGCAATATGTTGTAGCTAGTGGTAGGTCAAATAGGATTTTAGGTTGTATCTATATAAATATTAAATACAAGTCTAAAGAGGTTATACTTTCATTTTACAGGTCACTGGTTAGGCTACATTTGGAATATTGTGTTCACTCTTGGGCTCCTTACTTTAGAAAAGACATTGAATTGTTATAAAGGGTTACTAGAATGGTGCCGGGATAGAGGGGTTGTCATACGAGGAGAGGCTGAAATATCTCAAATTGTTTTCTCTTGAAAAAAGCTGAGTTAGGAGGGATCTGATTGAGGTGTCTAAGATTATAAAGAGAATTTATAGTATTGATGCATCATCTTTTTTATGTTTAACAGTGAGAAGAGTAGGCCTAGGGGACACAAATATAAACTTTGGCAAGGTAGGAGTCATCTTTAGCTAAGACAGTTTAATTTTTCTAACAGGGTGGTTAGCCTTTGAAATGGGTTGCCGTTAGACGTTGTAGAAGCAGTAAATTTAAGTGAGTTTTAGAAAAAGCTTGATAAGTATATGAATGAAAAGAGCTGGCTTTAAGTTTTTTAATATTTTATTTATTTTAATCATTTTAATTCAGTTTAGAGGATGGAACAACCGAGATGGACTAATAAGTCCCATGTTGTCCTAAAAAGTTATGTTGTGTTATAATCGAAATGAAGGCAGATACGCATCTTACAAACTTACTTCCAAATTGCAGCTTAGATTTATAACATGTAGGGGTCAACGCTACCTATTTCAATCTCATTAAATATTTTGCCGAGGTAATATCTCTTAAAATCTTAGACATTTCCTACCAAGACAATTTTTTCAGTTTTTGTTACAATAACACAATTATTAACTAGCTTAAAATTACTTTGTTTGTAGTTAAGCACAAAGCTACATAAGGGACTATCTGTTCCCACCACGAGTACTGAAACACGGATTTTAGCGTTATAAGTCAGCGGACTTACCACTGTGTCACTGGAGAAAATTCAAAATTGCATTGACAACATCTTAATTATAATGGTAATGAAAGAAGTTATAGATATTGTTATATGTGTAAAATAAGCTAGTTTCTCCTGTTACTTGAAACGTTTTCTGTTACATACAATAGTAATCACATATCTAAATCTATGTATTATTAGTAGTGTTACTTCATAACTCTTGTGTTCCTCTTATATGAATTGCCAATAATAACATTACTTTTGATTTTGGCTTTGCTCCTGATGAAGACTGATACATCTGTCGAAGATACTGGAGTTTTATGTTGTTTTTTTTTAATATGACATTACTCTTTTCGATATAGCAGTGTAGATCATTAAATTTTTTCAGCCTAAACAATGAAAAAATATTCACATTTGTTTTTCAATAGATCAAATATAATTTTTCGCGATAACATTTTATACTTCCTTCGTGCAGACAAGTAACAGAAGGGAAAATGTTTGAAGCTTCAAACAATTATATTTCTCCAAAGGAAAGAAAACATTTTAACAAAATTCTATTTAAAGAAAGGTCATTAATAGCACAGCAATTCATAGTAAAAATAACTCAATACAGCAATACAAGACTAACATTATTTTTATTACAGAAAGTCACGTTTTATTTAAGTAGCATTTCATTTGGCGCAATTTGTAGCAGTTCTTCTTTACGTTTTCTATAACTGGCACAAAATATGTAGAAAATAAGCAAAAACTATTCCAAAAGGAGTATGTTCCCCGATAGATTTAAAATAGTTTAGAAGAAACTAATGAATTTAGATACTTGAAAATGGCACTGATATGCTTCCTGATTGACAAAAATAGCTGAAAAGGGACCAGGATAGATGTGTTTATCAATTAGAAAATTGTAAATGTACCAAGATAGTTTCGAAATGAATTTGAAATAATTCAAAAATAATAGCATACACTTGCTAAAATATTTAAGATAGCTAAAAAAAAAGGTATTCATTTCAAATACTTGAAAATGATCCAAGTAATTTTGATCTAATGTATTCTAAACCGTCGGAAACATAACAGTAAATGTTTTCTAATAGCTTTTAAATACTGAGAAAGGGGCCAAGATAATAGAGCACCATGTTTTGAATTTAGTTATATTTATTAGGAATATAACAGACTTGGAAACCATTGCCTTTCGTTCACGGATTCAATTTTATCCTTCTTGAAAGACTAAATATGTAAAACTTAAATTTTCATTTGAGGTTCAAACACAATGCTTTTGAACTATTAATAATCAGTATTCTTAGACCACAAAAATAAAAGCATACCCTCTTTCGATAAGCAAAATGACCACCAGGATCTACAAGAATAAGAACAAAAATCAGCTATTTCAGACAAAATAACAGATATATGTTTGAGCCAAAAGATAGAAAATGTTATACTAAATTGGAACACCATTTTCTAACATTTTCCAAAAACACATTATTTTCCCATTGTATATTTCTTATTTTGATTCTTCTTCTAGTGAGTGCTTGGTAAGAGCTAGAAGAATCATAGTTAATTCTTTCTTATTAATCTTTCCATCCCTGTTCAGGTCACAGCCATACAAAATGGTTTCTTGGAAATACATCAGGTCTTGAGCATCATAGTCCTAAAACAAATAAAAAGTTTAGTTTTTCTGTCATGAGTATTATAATTTTAATATTCAAGCAACGGTATAGTCAAAAGTTCATGAATATGAAACTACAAAATTTCTAGGAAACAGCATAATGTCACTAGATGTTGAGCATCACAGCCACAATGTTAACGAAAATAGGCTAAAGTAACAGCTCTCATATTAAGGAAAACCGTTTAAAATAACCAGGATTTGGATATCACAATCCCAACATTAACGAAAGCTGTTTAAAGTAACCAGAGTTTGTACACAATAGTTCCGATATTAATAGATAGGCGGTAGATGGGATCAAATTTCAAATTTGGTAACCTGTCTCCTGCCTTATACTCATATAACATATTGTATTTTAAAGGGAATTTTCTCTACTTTTCAAATATACCTGTTGTGGAGGAACTTTCATGTAGAGCAGTTTTATGATATAAGCAAAAAAGACTCGAATGACAAAAATGCATAAAATCGATTATGCTTGGATATGATTTATTGTTTTAAACAGTTGCTTCTGTAAGCATTCTGGCAAACCAGTATCACAGCTACAACACAACTTATTTTTTAAGAAATATTCAAACCTTTCTAAAGGTATGTGTTGCAAAATTCTCCAGTGATTTCATTTTAGGCCAAGTACTAAAGAACAGACTTATGCTAAAAGTTTAGAAAATCACCAAGTAATTAGTTCTAAAATCCCTGTTCATTTACTTTAATGGCATTCTTGTGTGACTCTTCTGTCCAAATATCATTGATTCCCAATTGTAACTATGTCTGAATTTCAAACATATTTGTTTATTAGAGCTAAGTGAAGGTGTTTCACTGATGCAAAAAAAATGTGTTATGTTGTTTTCATGTAGATAGTGTTCCTCCAGTTAATCATCACTATTGACATCATTATGGTGTGTCAATGTGTTTCTATATTCTTGAAAACTATATTCTTCTGATATAAGTACAGATCATATGCTGCAACATCTAAGAGGCCACGGGTTCAGTATACGTGATGAGGATAGGAACAATGTCCATTTTCACCCATGATCTAAGTACTGACCCAAGGGTTTGATAGGAGATGTGTGAATACATCCAACATTTCGTTCACCATTCTGGCCTCTCTTTATGTTGCTCAAAGCTGTCTTCATATGGTGGCAATCATGCAATGTTAAATGTTTTTTCTAGCTGATCTAACTTTCAATGCACATTTTCCTTGTCTTTTACAGCACAGGAATTGGCTATTAATCTTCTATTAACTTGCTCATCTTATGGCCCTTGCTTTGTCATAACTTCCAAGGCTTTCTGAGTCACCATAATGTTTGGGGCTTTTTCCAGAATTTATATACAGCTTTCTTCTCAATGTTATGCAGTTCAGATGTGGTATCACACCCAAATAATGCGTGAAATGATTTTGCAAATAACATTTAATATCTATCTGTGCTTGTTGTTGTGGTTACTTTTTGAATCTACTGTTCCTTTGTGCTAGTCAGTTGTAAAATGTAGAGAGCCAGCACAAGAACATCAGTGTTTGTAGATCTAATAACAATTCATCACTTTATGTCAGCAGTTGAAAAACCTTTCTCTGTATACGTGACATGCATAATTATCCTGATGCTTTCTTCCTCTTGACTGCTAGCCATATATGGGATAATTTGAAATTTATCACAGTCAACCATTGTTTCCATTAATGGCCTGAATGGACTCCTATGGCATCCCTGATATTATAGATAGAGATACATAGAAAGACAGATAGAGATAGATACACACACACTTGAACCCTTATCAAAGGGAAAGAAATCTATAAAGTTGCAAACAAAATTCTCCAACTTCGCATTAATGTCAGCTTTTGAGGTTTTTCCGCATTCTATGGAACAGTGACATGGAAGTGTCTATATAAAAGCTTTCATCATAGCCCACTGACAAACAATATATTAGAAACTGCTTCAGCAAGTATTGCTCTTTCTCATATGTTTTGGCAAGGATACCTGTCTCTGGAAAATTGTGTAAACATGTTGATATGTTTATTAACATAAATTATATTATTCATGTCTTTTGAAATATGTATATGAATATAGGCGACATTATAAAGCTGTAATATTAGACTCATACAATAGAGCAAGTCGAGATTGATTTTATGAACATGTTTACTTGATTTTATGTCCTTTTAACAATTAAGTTTTCTTTAGTTTTATAGCCTTAAAATTCATTATTAGAAATGCGTGTTTCTATATTTGGAAGAATGAATTAATTATGTAAAATAAGTATTTTACTATTGTAATACTGTATTGTTGACATAAGGAACCATTTAATGAAAAAATTATATAACTGAGCTATTGTATTAAACACAAATATAAAAGTAGGAAGTTCGAAAATATATCTCTTTCAGTTTTATTACGGTTTAATGGAAAAACATATCTATATCTATGGTTTATTTTGATGTTTTCCTACTAGAACTTGCCCAACAGTAGGTATCACAAGTCAGATTTGATAAATTATATGGTAATTACATTATGTTAACAAGAATGTTTGGATTTTCTCATGTTAATACGTCTATGTCTAATCATGCAGTAGTAGTTGTACGCTATAAAATAAGAAAAGTTGCTCATATTGACGTTTTATTAGTAAATTACTGGAAAATAATACATGTAAGTGAAATTGACCATATTTTAAAAAGGTTTTCAAATACAACAAACAATAAAAAGTTACGAATGTTAGAATGTGATGGGATAATTTAAAAAGGAGCGATTAATCCACACGCTCAATTATTTCCAAGGGAGACTGAATTAACAAAAAGAAACGGAAGATTGAGCAATTAGAAATAAAGTTAACTCTGTTATTAATGTTAATACTCATTACATGTACGAGAAGGCGCTTAAAGAACTTGATATAAATCGAGCTAAACATTGAAATCCATAAACGAATCCAAAGAATTAAAGAAATGGACACCCCTACATTTTTTCATTATATTAAGACAAACCTCTAGTACACAAAAAGCTGGATTAACAGTTTTGAAGAATAAAACTAGTAGAACAACTCAAAATTCAAAGGAAATAAATTCTTTAATTACTTTTTTAAAGATATTATACTACGAATTAAATCGAACTAACAATTGTTTCTTTGAAGGCTTACCGACTTTACCAAAAAGTGTTATAACGCTTACAGAAATAATTCCTGCTTGTCAATCATTAGCAAAGATGAATCTCCTGGAATTTATGAACTAGTAATGTTATAATAGTAATGTTGTAAAAATATGGTAAAAGCAGTAAAGTTAATATCTTAAAAGGGAAACTTGACAGGTTTAAAAAATTAGCGATCAGTAGCACTTCTATGTATGTAGTGATTATAATGTATTTTTCTAAAGCCATAACAATCAGAATGAAACCTTTTCAGTCAATTGATTCACGACAGCCAGATTTACTCTGTTACAGATTTGTGCATTATAATATACATGTGTGTGTGTGTGTGTGTGATATAATACATTTTGCAAACCAAAATAACGAATGTTTGCCTGTTATAAATTTAGATATTTAAAAAAATATTCGACTTATAAACCATAACTATTCGAGGAAAGTGCTGAAAATAAATTTTGGGGTGAATACTAGAGCAGTTGACGCAATGCATAGAAATACTACATTTTGTATGGGACGGTTTCAACTTCAACTATTTCTTTTATGAGAGGAATGAGACAAGGAGACCCAGCAAGTTTTGTTTAATTATTCAATTTAGTTATAGAATCTTTTCTTTATCATTTAAGAAAAAAAAGCTTTAAGAGCAGTAATTTTAGTAATTAAAGATTAATTTTAATCTTCTAATGTAAAAATGTATATCAGCATAAAACAGGAAACAATTTAATGTTATTTAAAACACACAATGGATTAGTTTGAAATATATATTCTATTATGTATATATATATATAATATATTCTATATATATATTATGGAAAACGCGCATAGAAAATAAATTAGGCTATACGTGGTCGAATCACGGAATAAAAAAATTTCGAATGTATTAAGGAAATTCTTCAGTATGGATCCAAATGAACTGGAATGAGCTAGAAGAGAACGTTATGAGCTTATTACAAATTGAAAACATTCTCAACTTATTTTGTATCATTGAAAGGTAGAATTTTAATTATCAATCAAATTATCAGTAGTAGTATGTGGCAAAGATTTCATGTATTAAAAACTCCTAAGACTAAGATAAGTAATTTTCAAAATGCATTTATACAATTTGATTAGAGATTAGATCCATAGAAACACCTGGTGTTTACCTTCTGGTGAAGGTGGATTGAATTTAATAAATTAACAATTTTCAGAATTCATTTTTTTCGAACCTGTAATACATAAACCAACTAGTTCGCTCATTCGAATGACAATTGAAGCTATTTTTAAACGAGTATATCAACACTTTGTTTTCCTTACAGTTGTTTTAATAGATCATAAGGATCTACGAGAAGAATTATGAATATTTTACTTAATTGCTTTCAAACGACGGCACAGTGTCAATATGAGAAGAAAAACTGAAAATTATGCTGTTCAAGCATTTCTTAATAAACCTCTTTTCTTGAATTTTTTTTTTTTTTTGGTGTAAAATACAAGAAATCCATTTGTTAGTTTTCATTGTTCATAAATAATGTGATAGCATTGTCACATATTGTTGACAAAAAAGAAACAGAGAGAAAAATGTTAGGTTAATTTTCCGTTACTCTTACAAAATGATCAAATCGAAGAACGTTTGAACAGACTAGTGATTGCGATTACAACACAATTTAAACACACTGGAAGTAGAGGAAATGTAACTAATAATGAACAAGGCAATATATCTAGTTAAAACTACCAATAACAAAATAGAAAACAAAAATTTTGTTCTATTATTTGATAAACAGGAAAAAATAATTGAATGAATATCATTCTAAGCCACCAAAAAAGCACATGAAAAATATATAAAAGTCCTGAAGGAACGTGATGTACATAAGATACACAGTAGAGACTTGTGAATTTTTT